GAAGAATATCGTGTCAGTAAAATTTTTGATGAGTGTGTTAAATAAAAAACATTTCGGGACTTTATAGGGACTTCGCACTTTGATGCACATGCATGTACTCGGTGTATCTGGTGTTTAATAAGCGCGAGTCAACTGGAGTCAACGGTGCAGCTGTGCCGACGGCAAACTATTACCTCGATTCATTATCAGTGACCTCTTTGTATACGTCTCTTTCGTAGGAGTCCTCCATGAGACCGCCACGCCGCGTTAACTTTTCTTAATTGAAATGTCATCCGTAGAGTGATTTCGCTAACCGCATAATGGCTAACACGTATATAAAAAAAACATATATTTTATATAAGTATTAGACGCGTGATTTAAAGATATGAATTATTGTTCATTTCAATCTGATTCTTTTTCTTTATTTGTCGCCTTCGGGCAATTGTTACTTTCGCTATTTCGACAAAATGACAGTGATTTCTCGTACGATCGTAGTTACGGCTGGTGAACAGAGTTATACCCTTTCCCGCACAGACATGCTATGCTTAAAGGTTGATACGGTAATGGTTACACACCATGTACAATAAATAAAAGTACGTGCGCATATTTGTTGCAGCGCGAGATGACGAAGCAGACCGCGTGAACAAGATTGCAGAATACACGGAGGAGGAAAGCAAGAACCCGAACAAAGGTAGAGAAATAGAAATTGTTAAAGATCTACGAAATATTCATACTTCTCTTTCATAGTACCAAAACAGGCTTAAATGAAAGCTCTCAATTTTTTGCACAATCGACGAACAATGTAGAGCCGCAAAAACTTCTCTGAGATCAGCATATTACTTTCCCGAACGATCTTATCGCGAAAACATTAAGGTATGACTCGACGATTTCGACAATACTATTGCGTTCATGTGCAGTGGGCCGTAGATTGTATTCATCGTCGAGTAACGATAATTCCGGGTTACAGCGTCGTGTCAAACTCCTTCGCAAAATGAAACGAAAATGTCACGCGGACATACGACGTACGGTCAGTGTATCGGATCGGTTGGATTGTTAACAATAGTATTAAGCCACGTGAATACCTTGGAGTTTACGCCAATCTCTCGTCCTTCGGCTCGGTGAAAGTCTGCAAGAATTCGCCCTCGATCGTGTTGCGAACTTCACATTGAGATCCTCCTGACATGTCACGATCTCGCTCGAAACTAGTAACGCTGAGTAACAAATATCTCACGTTGTCTTGTAAAATAGCAAAGCAGTGCTTCCGATCGTGCCCAAATATCGAAGTCATGATTCTTAATCAAAATAGAAAGAAATTCTTAAAATCTGTAATTTACAGCCTAATCGAGTAATCAACAAAGTTATCCCAAAGTTATTAAGATATTTAAATGCTAACTGCTTTTACAAGGAAGTAAAAATTAAAAATAGTACATAACGCGCGCGTCGATGGAAGAGAGATCGAAATGCGACAGGAAATTGAGGCATCTTAATCATCTAATATCGAGAGTACAGGGCACATAAGAAAATATAACGAAATATTTTAAAATATAAACTTAAAAAAGTATGTATAATATAATATTCTATAATTTATTAAAATTCCTATATATATATATATATATTACTTGTTTCGGGCTCACGATTGAATCCTCTTCAGATATGCATACGGGTGATGTTACATTGATTGAGATCAGTCGAAGATATAGACAAAATTATACACATAATGATGATTTTAAATTAAGAGTCCTTCATTCTTGTAAAATCTTGTTTAATCATCTAATTTTTTTCCGATGTAAACTTAAAGCCATTTGTTAATACATACTCGCTAGACTTTGAATATAATAGTAACGAATACGTTTCTCTTCGTCTTTTATCTTTGCACGCAGATATGTATTCTCGCAGTTTTGTCTCGGACGTGATAGTTCCGCGAATATATATGCAACGTATACGGTCGCTATCAGTCTTTTTCCATTTTTCCGTAAAAAATTAATTGGATAGGATTCTCACGGAGTGATTCGCTTCCTACTCGTTTTACAGCCCGCTCCCACGAAGGCACGAGCGGAGTCGGCGATGGTAAGCGTCATCGGCCTCTCGAAGCACGTACGTCGGGCCGCCGCGTTTAATGCCAATGTTTCCGCATTCTGGAATCTTATTTCTGAACGAGGAATATTCGCTGTCTAGCCGGTGCAGTGGCAAAAATGTGCTGCCGACTGCTCACGCCGTGTCAAATCCTCTCGGAAAACTACGCGCGAACATCAGCCAGACACCGCGCCGCACCATGTCAAGATTTTATGGTCTGCATATACTCGACTGCATAGTACATAGTACGTTAGGTAGTCCAAGATTTGTTCGAGAGAATTGCCGATTTTATCATAGATATCGTTGATAGAATTAATCGTCGTTGTGAGACGCGACATTTCCGCGATGTAAAATTTTATTTCTACCTACGAAACGTCAATCGAGCCGACACTTAACGGTGAAAATATGATGTTGAACTTGGTTGAATTTTTTTATTATATTAGAAATTGAAAATTTCACCTATATTGATTCTGGATTCAATGGAAAAAGGATATTCCTGAAATTCCGATTGATTTTTCGTGCTTTCGAGAGGTTAAGCGTGTTGAGCAACGGCATTTCGGCATCCCTTCTTACAAAATGTGAGAATTAATCCGCGGCGTGCAGGGCGTTAAATGAATTTCTCGCGATATGACACTTCTCACTTCCGCGCGAGAATCAAAGTCAAAAGTTAAATGTGATAAATGAATATTATTATACCCGTGTGAGCACGAATCTGTATCTTATTTAAGGATCTAAATATTCGCGACAGCGTACGATACACACAACGTATCATGAAAAAGATAGAAAGTAGAAAGGTGATATAATATGTGAATTAGAATGTAAGATTACTGAGTAAAATATTGGATTTTGCAACACATTTGAATCAACCATATCGATAGTCCCTTTATTCGAGTTCATCGTTCGAACGACACGACGGTTCGGCATGGATTATTATCTGCACGGTTATTACGCTGAACGCTATCGAACATTTCTTCTCGTGTAACTGTATGAACGGTTGTTGAACACGAAGAAATGCGCGCGCGTGTGTACAAAAAAATCAAATTGCAAAAACCAGAATGTTACGCAGAATAGTCATGAATTGCTGAGCTGTTATTAATACGAATAATCTTTACAAGACAACGATCAGATAAGTATTACGTGACGAAATGTAGGAGCAAGGAATACGAAGTCGCTTCTAAATCTTTGCAACTCGAGATAAACTTTTTAATGTTCAAATGTATTAAGTTGCTTCATCTAGTCTAAGCCACGAAAAGAGACTCTTTTGAAAGTGATAAATTAAATGATATAAAAATTTGATAAAATGTACAATGTTATGATACAATCTATGGATATTCATTTTTCTATCATCGCTTCTTTACTTCAAAGCATAATTCATGACATAATTTTAAAAAATTAAAATTTTCTCATTTATAGAAACTAAAAAAATCACATTTTTTTAGTTGTGTCAATTTTAAAATAAAAGAACAAAAAATGTTTCTTTCAAAAAATCGAATTGAATACAAAGAACATCGCGTTTCACTCGGCATTGAAAATCAATGATTTATCCGCTGTAACGCGCGGATTTATTGCTAAATACATTGCTTCACATCAGACAATATATCATTTAAGACGTTTAACGACGCGAATGTCGCACGATCATCACATCGACTGATGAAACAAAAAGAGGGAGATCATTATTAGAGGAGATAAATATAACATTTAATAATCGTGTTACAAGGTTCTACGCTTTCAGTACATTGACGCAACGCGGACAATTCGGATCTCGGTGCCAAGGACAAGTGGCTTTTAGTGACGGCACTGATTTTGCGGTCTGCCTCCTTTCTTTTCCAAAACAGTATTCCACGAAGAAAGCCGTTTGCCGCTTATTGCGACAGACATAATCTTCGCTTTCAGAAACTATATGCACGATGATGTAATTCACAACCGCAATTTACGTATATGGTATAACCACTATTATATATCATACCTGTATAGCATCATGCACATGGGCGTGCATAATAAGAATTATCTCAGTCACGATAAAGTAAAATTGCATCCTTAATATCGTTCACTGATCTACTGTTTCTATATCAAGAATTGTTACAGTTATAGTTGTTCTACAATTTTTATAGAATATAAAAAAATATATGTAACATCGCTGATAGATGTAAAAATTTTCCAATATGTTTGCATCGCGATTTAGATTTATAAACTTTACTGTTATGCTTATCTTATACATCAATCTAATTTCAATTTCTATAAATTGATGCATTCTCCGGATTTTATTAATGAAATCATTTAAATGTTCATGGAATTATCAAGCGATGTAACTCAGTGGCATGACAAAATCGTTGGTTCATCTTAAAGCCGATTATATCGCATAGCGGTATACCCTGGTCAACATAGATCGTCCGGTTTGCGTACTACGACTTTTCTTCGGTGAGCAAACGGTTTCGTTTCGTTGACACATTCCATAAGATTAATCGACTCCCGTAACAGTTCGGGCGACATCCGCAAACTAGTACACAAGACACAGATCTATGAATTCCAAGAGAAATTGTTATGTCTCATGATGCAGCTAATTTATGACATATCTGTCTCCGTAACTATTTCGCTATTGTTTCGATGGATTAGAAACAAATCTCGAACATCTGCGAACATGAAATAGTGTAACAAGAAATGACGTGTACTTGGATGGCATCCAACGCAAATCAAAGAAGAAATTAAAGGGAAAAGTGCGGAGATCGAGAGTGAAGAACAAAGTGACATGTAAATACACGCTGATTTTTTGCATACGGTATAATGTTTGCAAAGAATATAATTCTGTTCAGCAAAATTAAAAACGTGGTCGCGGTGGCATATTGAAAACGCGAGACTATCCCTCCTCTCGTGCATGAAAGCGCTTGATGTCGGTGCTAACCGCGGAAGCTGGCCTCGACAGGCAATGTCGCCCAGTCTTACGACAGCCTTCTTGCCAGCATGAACGAGAAATTCTGCTATTGTTTCCTCCTTCATCACGACGATATATTAACATTCTTCTGAGAATCGTTTCGTGCCGACTAAACTCAGGCTCGCGCAAAATGCACAATGAATTTCTTCCACGTGAAAGTTTGTCATAACCGCGAGCTAAGTTATATACTCTTCGATGATTAAAATTAATTGCCTGCCAACTTAATACTCGCAAAGTGGTTGTAAAACAAGAGTGGTCTTCGCGAATTCTGAATGTTGTACCCATCGTCTCATCAGGTATATCTTGTAACGTATATTATCTGTTTCTTTATTGGTTATTTTCAACTTAATGCATTAGTGAACACAGAACGCATTATTGAGCCTCTATCTTTCATATGTTTTTCTAGTTTTGTTATCTAACAGTATACAATTTACTGTGAAATAATATTAAAAAATACATAACAGATAAGATCTTAATTTAAAAAATAACAGATAAGATCTTAATAATTAGTTTAGCTGATTAGTTATAACGATACGCTAATTATAATTTAATAAACTCGTAATCAAATATTTGTCAAGACAGGAAAATGATACAACGGTTGACACTTGCAAATGTTTTCTATTATTTTATCATTTTGAGACAATATAAAAAACAATTTCATTTCAAAGAATTATAATTTCTTAATTTATTTGAATCTAATATATTTCTCTATTTTATATTTATTATAATATAATTAAATAAATAATTTATTTATTTACATATTTATTAGTATTCATTTAAATTATTTACTGTGAATTTTTATAATTAAATATTGATGTATACAGATCGCGCATTGTAATTGATTTGCCAACTAAATAAATGTTGAATTATAAGAATGAATAAGATTCATGTATACTCGAATGCACTTACGCATACAATAACACGCAATGTCTCTGATACCGGTACAAATATGGTGCGATCGTCTGGATGATGCATCGAAAACCATCAAGTTGCGCGAAAGTTGCATTTATTGCACGTGCATACGATCGATGATTAGTTACGTCGTGCTGTGCACTACGCCAGGAATGTTAATCAGGAGTTAGCGCAGTGCGCTTTATTAACCGTGAATTAAAATTAGTCATAGTTTCGCGGTATGTCGGCATACGTAAGCGTTCGGCAATGCGACAATATATGCACAAATGATTTACAATTTACGAGCAATTTTTTAAATATCTTATTTGCACACTCATAGACAGATAAAGAAAGTTTAAAATAAAATTTTGTATTTCATTACGAGAAATTACGTTGTTAACAGTAAGGTATAGTAACTTACTCGATTTAAATATTCCTGCTTAAACTAGATAACAAGTACATGCAAAAGTTTTATCAGTAGACTTGTTTTAAAATGTGGAAATCCTTGAGACCATACAAATCTATATAAATTAAATAATTTGTGTTTTCGAATTGAGCGACAAAAAATTAAAAGATCTTATATTATACAAAATAAAATAAAAAGTATAAAATAAAATTAAAAGCAAAACATTTAAAGTAAAATAAAATATTTGAAATAAAATCGGAGTAAACTTAAAGAAAGAGAATAAAATTAAAATGTGAGAGACAAGTTTTTTTCCTTAAAATTCAGATTTTACGAATAAAAAACAAATCTCTAAAATTCGATGGAGACTGACTTCTCTTTAGAATATATTGAACTGTGACAAATGTGAAAGATCGCAAAATGGCATCTTTGCGATTCGTCAGACGAAAAGCATGAAAAATCGAAGAGATGATGTCATTTTTTTAACGATAATACGACTGCGATGTATAATGTGTTGATATATGCGCGATGAATCATTCAAGGTTTGCTGGTTCGCTATTTAATGGTGCAAATATTTTTACGAATGCATTTCCTTTCCAAAAGAATTCTTAAAGGCATAACATAATAGTACATATTATATTAAAGAAGAACGCTGAAATAAAATTTACAAAATGTACAGAAGAATTCTTAATGAGTTGACTTTTTGTCATAAATATATAATAGCAAAAAGCCCGTTTAAAGAATAAAATATTTTCGAACATTTTACGAGAATCCACGTTATTTATGATATTTGATTAAGCAAAAAACGAAGATAGTAAACGAAGATATTCAAATTCCATTAACGCAAATTCTGTTTCACCTTGAATTTGTTTAGCTTATCAGAAAATAAAACAGACATTTCATACAAACGATAGCTTGTTAAAACGTAATGGAAAACAGCAATCACATACATTATATTATCTTTCATACCATCACATTTAGCAAGAAAAATCATATTATATTTATATTGTACTTTAACAAACCTTTTTCATACAAATTAAATATTTACAAATTCCATATAGTTTATTAATAAATATTAAAATATTTTAATTACTATATTATATTATAGTCGAAAAATTTAAACTTTCATATCAATATCAAGAAATTGGGAAATGTTGTTGCAGATACGGTAAATGGTAAGATGGAGAACTGTGGAGGCGGCCAACGCCTGCCCCCGGACGGGGATGAATTTCCAGCAGCGTACCAAGAATTCAACAACAGTAGCAATCAGCCATCGTACAGATATATCGCTACGACAAGGACAACGACGATAACTACGAATGATGCAGGATTGTGTAATGAAAACGAGTCATTTCGTACTAACGAGACTGTTAAAATGCTCACGAACGATAGCAACGTTGTCAGTTCGAGAAGCATTATTCTACCCGATAGTAAGATAACGTTCCCAGACACTGAAAACGTGAGGCAGGATATAAACAAAGTTGCTTTGGCAAGTATGGAGAGTGTCCGGTCTGAGGTGGGCAAGGCTACGTCGTCCAATGTAGATAATATATGTCAAGATGTGAAGTCCACCGAGATTACTAACGAAGAAAAAAAATCATCTTATCACACTTCGGAAGATATCGCGAAGAAAAACACTTCCATCGTCGCGGGAAGTTCTCTTTACTCTTGTCAGACGACTACCAGCAATTTAATTATGAGTGAGAAGAAGATGGAGATCGCTGGATATTATCACAAGGCCGTGACGACGCTCGAAGAAGTGCCAAGCCACGTGGAAAAGGACGCGCCTATTGATACCCCACCGCCTCTTCCATTGACAGGTACTCATTACTTATCTAGTTTCGAATGAAATTCCTCGTCTTTTTTTTCTCCGAGAAGCAACAATGACATATCAAAAATATATTATTAAATTATTAAATTTAATATTTTCGGAAAGATTGATTTCTCCTCCCTTTAAAATTGTTTCAAGCACATCATATTTTTATATATTACCTCCTTTTTTTAATATTTTTTGCAAAAGTACGTTATATTATTCACAGGCCCGCCAAAAATAGAGCAAGTGTTGCATACGAGAATTACTCCTACGATAGAATCTCCGCAAAGAAAGTTTTCTTTGAACGGTGATCTCTGGAGACAAGACGACAAGTCTGAGCGATCTGTTCGAGATAAAATCGCAATGTTTTCATCGCAAAGCAATCTTGATGCGCCTCTATTTCCCAATGCCATAACAGCGGCAGCAGTCACGAGCAACAGCAAACGCCTCTCCAAGTACAAGTCCTCCGAAGACGTTTGTTGCGATGACAAGAGCAACGGACAGAAAGATCGACCGTCTTTCTTCGCCGACAGGACGCAGAGTTCTTTCGATCTCACCGATTCAGCCAAGACTATGACTGGGCATGACTCCGCGAAGAAATATAACCAGAGAACGCTTAGTTTGCCTCAGACTGTTCAACCTGCTCTGTTGAGTCCAATTACGCAAACTACGCGGACTCCAAAGACGCTACCAATTGTTCCACCGAAATCATTATCTAACCCACTGTCAACTTTGTACGATAAGCAGAATTTCTTAAATACGAGGACAAAAAATTATTGTGCAAATACCACAGAAAGCAGCAATTTGCAGAATGTCACGTATTTGAATATCGGTAAAACCGTAAATTCTTGTAACAATTCTAGCAACTCGATCAAACCAACGAGCACAACATCTTCATTAACGCGAGCTACCAGTTTTTCCGGCCCGACACTCTTTGTGCAAGATCGAAATTCTTTGACAACCGATTCCATCAGTAACTCACAAATTTCAAGAACGAATTCCTTAGCGTCCACGTTTAGACGACCCGGCGAAGATGTAAGGAGAAACAGCTTGAATCAGCTGATCGAGCAGAGACGAAGATCAATATCGAAATTACGTGGTCTGGTTATACCAGAAAAAGACACTGTATCAATTGATCAACCTATCGTCGATTTACCAGAAATCAAATCACGAGATTCAATATTATTGCATCAGGTAAGATTTGAAACATGTATAATGCAATTCAATAGTATGTTTAATTCGAATCTTATACAAAATATTAATTTTTTTATATTTTTTATATTTTTTTTATATTTTATAATATAATATTTTGTAATATTTCAAAAAATTTATCAGCTATTGCTTTGAAAAATCCATTTTTATGAGTAATATTTAACGTTTCTCCATCTTATATGCAAAAAATATTTAAAATAATACATTGTTCACACAATATACGTTTTTTCAGATACCAAAGGCAAATATTCAAGACAAGTGGGGGTCTCAAAGTTCCTTAGCCAGCAACGCCAGCACAGCGAGCCAACCATTGAAAGCGACAACGTCTTTCAAGATGCCGGCGCCTCAGATATACTCCAAGTACTCCCCGGCTTTCAAAAGAAAGTCTCTCACGGTTTATGGTACTTCAGTGACGACAAATTCCACGATAAACGGCAGCAGCCCGATCAAAAGTTCTCAATCAACAGCAATGTCCACATTTTCGGAGCCACCGAAAAGCCTGGAGAGTATTTGCAGCCCTACAAGAAGCGATTACAGCTTCGAGTTTGCCTCGACGACGAGCTCACCGGATGGCTCGCGTACTAGGCCGAGGACAATACAAAGGAAAGCTCGCTTAGATTACGATGATTCCGACAATGATTCGGCCGTAAGCAGCTCTCAGAGCAGCATATCTCGCGGCTTCAGTCCGCCGATGTCTCCGGTACCGTCGGAAAGATCTACCATTTCATCAGAGAGATCTTACGTCTCCGCGGAATTAAACTGTCAAAGTCGGCCTTTGATCGCAGATAATTTGAGCAGAATTTCAGTCGCACGAGATGGTAGAGATCAAACTATTGCATCCGATAAAGATCAATTCACCTCCAGGATAGGTGTTCTTGGTGAACGAACATATCTAGCCGAAAGATCATCTTCCAGCAGCAGCGGGTCAAATCCGCGCTCACCACAACCGAACGAATTTCTTTCGAGAAGTTCACAAATTCCTCAGAGACAATTGAGACGATCGAACAGCACCGATACAAATTGCAGCACATCCTCGACGCTTACATCTGGCTCTCAAGCCAGTGCCGAGTCTTTATCCCGAAGAGTACTGAAGCCGCAAAGCGTGGAAGCGATAAATCGAAAAAATATTCTGGCGAGCGCCAGATGCCGAAGCGGTAGGGATTTGAATGGATCGCCGCTAATCCAGCGAAAGTTCTCAGACGACGAAGATGCTGTAAAAGAAACCATCCAGAACGGTGATGCTATTCATCAGATAAGCAATAACTCGGGGAGCGATCCCGCGAGCAAACAAGAGATCAAGATTGCGTATATAGAAGTCGCGGATCCCTTCGCGGAGGATGAAGAATCGTTACAGAAGAAGGAGGAGAAACCTAAATTGCCACCTAAAATGAGTTTCCCGCCGCCAGCTGTTAGACCACCCAAATCTGAAATGTTGGAGCCATCAAACGATCTTAAAATGTGGGTTCGAGCGGAAGTAAAGACTTTGGCGCGATCAATGGAAGAAAAATCAAGATATGACAAAAGTCCAATTCTCCCAGCTCAAAATTTGGAAACAAGAAATAGTCGTGGCTCCATATTTAATCAACCCGCTATTATTGCGTCTAACAACGATTTATCTTCAAAGAATAAAACTACAATAAGCGATATGAAGGTCACCACGATGGAAATGTCGAAATCACAAAGTAAAGCGAATTCAACTCCTAGAAAAAATATGGAAGACCAAAACGATCTTTTGACGATCTTAACAACAAAAAGTCGCTCTAGATCAGCTATACACGTTGATGAAGGGACGTTTGGTAGATCGAAGAGTCAGATGAGCCTAGAAGATATACTTGGCGCTAAGCCAGATTTGAAATTATCCCGTGCGCAAAATATAGAATCAAAAATTGAAAAGAATGGTATAATACCAAGCTCGCCGGTAAAATCTGCTTGGGAAATTTCGAAAGAAAATCGATACGGGAGAAGAGGCTCTATTACTTCGAACGAATCCTTGTTGGAGGATAGACCCTTTGTCTCGAAAATACCCACCTTAGGAAGAACCAAAACTGTCGACAGCGGCGACGAAATGATAGAAAGTGTCGAAAGAATAAAAAATGTGACAGCGTCGAAGATTCCGACATCTCGTGGCTTAAATCGACGCAGCGCCAGTGTCACGGATATGAAGAAAGCCTTGGAGAAGATTGATACCAGTCCTATGCATAGTCAATCACAACAGAACGCCAGCAACACTCATAATCGATTTCCAAGTCTAGACAGCAGCGTAGACGAGAATATTGGGACAGAAATAGACACCGATAGATGTTACAGCGAGCAATTTGGCAGTATCAGTTCACTCGCCAGCAGTACCAGTCTAATCTCGCAACAAGAACTGGCGCAGCTCGTCGAGGAGGCGAGTTTGGAAGAGGCACGTGGAGCGCACGATGTTATAGTCGTTTTGCTTCATAAGGAGAACCCGACAGGCAGCGTTGGCATTACTTTGGCTGGTGGCGCGGATTGCGAAGTGAAGGAGATCACGGTTCATAGAGTACTGACGCACTCTATCGCGGATAAAGACGGCCGGGTGCAGAGAGGTGATAGGATCCTCAGCATAAACGGTCGGAGCACGCGAGGTCTCACACACAGGGAGAGCATGGCGGTACTGAAGCAGCCAAGATCGGAGGTCGTATTGGTCGTGTCGAGAGTCAGGATGGAGGAAGCTGTAAGCTGTAAGCTGAGGTCGCGAACTGCGAGTGTCGAAACCATCGTCGAAGGTAAAAATACATGCATTTCTTGCGTGAGAGCTCTCACGATTTATTTTTTAATGATAACGGAATCGATGTAAATAAAAAAGAACTCGGATCGTATAGGGTTAGAGACGAATGGAAACGTGGAAGACACAGCGTGGGGACCACCGTCGACTGTGGCGGTTTACAAGGACGGAGCTGGTCTTGGATTTAGCTTGGAAGGCGGCAGAGATAGTCCCCTCGGAGATAGACCTTTAATTATCAAGAAGATATTCACCGGTAAATCTTCCTATATAATATAATATATTTGCGCTCGAATATCATGTTAAAGGATAATGTTAATTGTAACGATTGTTATATTGAAATGATAAGATAATAGATAAGATAATAGATAAGATAATAGAAATTATATCATATGTTATCTTTACGATTATATGTTATCTTTACAGGAGGTGCTGCCGAGAAAACGGGTGCCTTAAAAGCCGGGGATCAATTGCTTGAAGTAAACGGTAACGATGTAACACGAATGTCGAGGATAGAAGCGTGGTCTTTGATGAAGAAGCTACACGACGGTGAAGTGAATCTCCTAGTCAGGCATCCTGCCACTAAATCCTCGTGAAAAATACGAAATCCCGATTGTATGATGCAAATGAAACGTAGTAATGTGCCAAGCAAACGTCTGAATTATTTTTCGATCGATATTTGTTATGTAGGTATAATGATTAATAAGGTATGTTATTAATTTGTTTTGTTCAAGAGATTTTAGATACGAACCGATGTTATATGCGCGAGAGGCTTTTTCCATCGTGCTGATAAATTTAAATAATGTCGCTGTTTAGTCAGATAATCAGAAATCTAAATTCATTTCAATTTATAAAAAGAGATCTAATCTATTGATATTATTTTTAAGAGCGTCTAAATTAATCGATAACTATCATTCACAGCTCTAATTGCATTGTCATTTATTATAAATTCAATAGCTAACAAAAACGTGCTAACAAAAAAGTTAAGAGAAAATAGCAAATCTGTGATTTGCTAATTTATTTTTCGATCAAACGCCTTATAAATGAAACGTGCATCTTATGCATAAAAATAGTTCTAAAATAGTATTTTCTACAAATATATGAAAGAATATGTGCGAATTAACGGTACAACATAGTCAATCTTAATAGTTTCATCACAATAAAATCAGTACGCAAAAAGAGACTTAAGATTGCAAGTTTCCAATCTGAATCGACAATGCAAAATGCAATATCATATCTAATATGCAATGATTAGATGTGGAATAATATTTTTATTTCGTAAATTTCATCAAAAAACAGCGATATAGCATCTTAATATAGTGTATGTTTTGACAACGAAATATATATATGGAAATTTCAATATATGCCATATGTAAGCGAACTGTAATGTTACTGAAATGAAGTAGGTAGGCATGTCAATTAATCATTTAATTAAGCGATACGTTGTTAACACGAATCGCTCATACATTATAATTCCATAGTGCCGGCCGTGCAGTAATAGTTCGAATTAAGAATTTGCAACAAGCAAAATAGCTGAGTAGCTAGAGTAGATAGTTATAATATGAGCCTGATTGTAGATTGCCTATTTCTAATCGATTTTAGCCACCCCGTCGCCTTATTATAGTGGTTCCTGTTACATTAGGATACAAATGATAGAATATTTTCATACGATACGGTGATCAAAATGATGCGCCGTTATAGCAATAAGAGAGAAAATGACGCGAGAGATCAGTTTTCTATGTGACTCCGATTAAACGTTAATTAATTTAATTGGCGATTAACTCAACTGACGGAATTGCTTATGGCAACATTTCTAACAATATATATAAATCATTATCCCTAATCGAATTTTTCATGTATTAAATAACAAAAAATCAACTATTTTATTATACACGTCATTAGCAAGATAGTACAGTTATTGCTTGATAAGTTAATCGCTGATTATATCAATTAGTCGAAGTTGCTCATAGTACAATAAAACCACGGAACAGATTTATGTTAAAGTAATCCTCAAATAAGAGTTTAGACGTCATCTGCTATCTATAGTTCACTCTTTACAAAAATGATAGAATCAATTTAGTATTTATGTTAATTTATTTAAATTCATTTAAAAATGCTTTTAATTCAATAATCCATATATATTATCATTATAAGTAAACTTGTAAAATAATAAAATATAAATTCCCTTGTGACTAAATATACGATAAATTGTTTAAACAGTCAAATATTGTTTAAGCTCTTATTTGAGAATTTTTTTATTATAAATTACAAAATTTTTTTTAAAAAGCCATTTTGACGCCATCTCGTGGCTATCCGTACGAAATAAAAAACTTTAAATTTGCTCGCAGCGTGAAGAAAACGCCAATCGCTACTGAAATCTACAATCGCACCAATTGAATCTTGAACAGTTCTTCAGCAGCTTCCGTTGCAAAAGCATTCATATCGATTATGATCATCTCGATGAAGCTAATGCGCCAACAGCAGTATATATAATGTGCTTAATCACGCGAAGATACCGCATCGCCGCGCGCGTTCATGAATAGAATGCCGTTCCGTTCACGATAACGCGCATGACGAGATATTATCAGCGAAAAATTATCTCTGGCACGAGGCGCGACGTTTTACGCGATTAGTCGTTTCGCAAGTAGTAAGGATATAACGGGACGAAATGTAATTATTTCAGACGCGAGATCTTGAGATCTGAGACGAAAGGAAGATGGTGGACGGTCGCGCTAAAGACGCGTTCCCCATTGCTTCATTTCCTGATCATCATTTTCCCCACACCTGTTATATCTTTATTAAGAATGTAGCGGGATAAAATACGACTCACCGATCTCGATATAGAGTACCCGGAAATCGAAGAGAACCTATGAGAGAACTGACAATGGAAAAACGGCTCTTCTCGTAAAAACGCGCGTTTGTCCGTGACGGTGACTTTTTTCGAACTGAATATCGCAGCAAGATCGACGCAATCGCGACATCGCATCTGATGTGAAGTGCGCCGCAAAGACGGATTCTTCGATTAATTTAAATTTATTTTCGCAAATCCATTCTCCAGACAGCACCATGTTCAAAATTGGAATGCAAGACGTCTTCAAGATGTCATTAAAACGTTTTTTAGACTTATCGTAATCATTATAAAGACATCTTTAAGATATCATAAGACAGCTTAAAAATGTTTTTATAATGGCTGCATTCAAAAAAAGTACCTTTGCAATTGTTGTAAAATTTAATATGATTTATATATTTAGAGCTAATGATGAACTAAAGGCAGGACTAATTATACTAAAGAACAGTTGCAAAACAGTTTTCTTTGCTGAACACAGCCAATACCTACTCTGCAATAGGCATAAGCTGGTCAATAGGCAAAAATTGGTCAATCGTAATCGATTATTTTCTCCGCATTCGATTACAGTCCATTTTTTTTCTGTTTATGATAAAGTGGTATAAAGCGGCGTCTACGATGAGATTTTAAGGCGTAAACTTTAAGCCTTAAGTTGTAAGAAATGAATTAATCACAGCAATTATTTTCCTCACATTCAACTATGCTTAAATTTTAAACTTTTAATCTCATTGTAGACGCCGCTTAAGACACTCTTATGATCCATTTTGCACATGTTTTGCTATCTGGGCTATTTGACTTGAATTTTGAATTGATGTTCGAGATTTCATTGCTTCTCACACATTTCAATTTTTGAAAAATAGAATCCTTTTGAAAAAAAAATCTTTCCGCTTTCTTGCGTCCATATGTCCATAAATTTTCAACGTTATTGAAATGTGAACTGATCGATCGTTAGTTCAATTTCCATTACAATCAGAATTATAAATGCGTCGAGTTAAGGGAAGTGTCATACATAATGGAATATTAATATAATGGAATATATCGGAATATATAAATATAATACGAACGGAATATTTAAATATAATACGAAAGCATTTCGGAATATGCATTTATTAAAATTTTGTGCTGTGATATGTGTGATGACACGATTTAGCATAAAACAAGCAACTATTGATTGAAATATTAATCAATATTATTACGTATTTTAATTCAATGTAAATTCGTTATATATATATATATATATATATATAAAGCACTGAATTGTTCGTTTTTTTTTATTATTTAATGTTATAAATGCTCTTTTTATTGTGTATTTCCTATGCAAAGCGTTGCAAACAGGGACTCCTTATAATGTCTTTTGTCAAAGATATAGAATCTTTCAATACCAAGAAAAAAAAGTTAAAATTATTAAATTAATGAATAGATAAATTGGAAAATGCAATTTTCGCGCATTTTTACATTCAAAAAGATTGAAAAAGAAGTTTCTTGAGTTGTATTAGAAAGCTATGTTCCCTTTTGTCTGTTTAATATATTTATTAAATACTATAGCTGTACATTGAAACTAACAGCGAATTGTATATAAGAATGATTAATACCAATAAAATTTCTTTGGAACACGATCTTCTTTAATATTCATTTTTTCCATGATATCCATCTCAAAAGTTTTTAATGCTGGCTGTAAATAGAAAACATGTATTTAATTTTTTGTTTCTACGTAAAATTTGTTTTAATATTATTATAAATTCTTCATTCATTTTATGTATATATGTATAACTAATTAATATCCAAGATCTATAAATAAAAATAAATAAATTCGAGAAGATAAGATTTTACATCAAAAGTTATTTTTTCCACATCAGCTTTAGTTGTATCTTTTGCTTGCTCTTGATAAAGCTGAGGAAATTTGTAATCTATCGTTTCTTTGCTTGAAACAGGAATAGGAATTATTCTACCAGATCTCACAGATACGCGTACACGCTGACCATCTTCTGTGAATCGCCATTCTATCGGAGTTGCTTCCCTACAACGATTTGTAAATTAGTAATATATAACCATTGACACTATATATTTACCTTCATAAAATAAATTTTTTATAATATAATAGATACTTACATATCTGAAGGATCAACCAATTGTACTTGTGAAGTTATTAATAATGGTTGTTCTTGTTGCATATATACACCAAGATATTTTTTACCCATCTTATGACATTTCAGCTTCGTATTAAGTCCTTCGACAATTACCCAATTTCTTTCTTGATAAATTTCTTTTACAATCCCTTGCTTTCCTTTATCTTTTCCTACTAAAACCTCTACCTAAAAAAATATAAATTTATACAAATGTTACAATATTTATATATCAAAATAATATTACTAATAATATTACTAATTACATCTTTTATCTTTTCACTTTTTATGAAAAGTCTATTAATAAAATAACGTACCCTATCACCTCGAAAGAAACTCCAATCCTTAATAGGCTCTACGTGAACGAATTTATGAACTTTACCAGGTGCATTATCACGATGAAATTGATGAGTCCATGGACGATGTATTGAGAAACGAAATCGCTTTCTTTCAATCGTGCGTGGTAAATAATTTGGCTTGTTGGGTGTCTTCCAATAAACCTTAATAAATTAACAAATAAAAATGTTAAAATTAATAATTAACTAATTGATCAGCAGAGTAAAATAACTTTGACCAAATTTTAATTAACTTGAGCAACAATTAATTCTAATAGATACAACTTGCAAAAATAAACAACTTTTAGATTCAGCCATTCAAAATCCGAAAATTAAAACTTATCATCTTAATATTGTTTGTATTCTCACAAAAAATATGTAATATTACAAGAATAATAATAAAAAACATTATTTTTTGTTATATTTGTTATAAATGAATTTTCATACTACCTATATAAAACTTTACTAATAGCTCACTTGGATTACTTTTAATATCTGTTTCTACTAATATAGTTTAATTTACATCCAAGAATTAGAAAAAGATGAAGAATAAGTTGAACGGAAATTAAAGTCTTGGTAGAAATAAATATAAATGAACTACTTTTCAATCAACATGAAAAAAAATTATAATATATTAAAAATTTATCATATTTAACTAAACTAAAAATATAATTTATCATATTTAACTGAAATATAATTTTTAAGGTTATACAGTTTACATTCTTTAACAATATACAGACTAAAATAATTTGACAATTGTGCATACCTGTGCCATTGCTCGTTCTATGTAACTATCTGGTAAATTTGCATATTTCTTCGACCATTCGCCTACGCGTTTTAACAAACTGGATGTCAATCTCATATCTACTCCTTAAATTGTAACAAAATTTTTACACTTAAACGCAAATGTTACAATTTTCTAGCGTTATTTTTAAAATATTCAAAATATGCAATTTTTGGTTATGTGTCTTCTTAATCAAATAACCCCCACATCGCTCCACACTCTCTATTACTGTTTAGAACAGATTTGGCTAAAGTTAAAGCAACTACTAGAGGGTTCTTATACAGACCGATTTTAGTGCCAGAGCATGATCCCATAAAATCACGGAATAATAATAATGACCGTATTTTCATAATCAGATCTTGTGCTTAAGGTAAGTTTTCTTAAATTTATCTTTAGATGCTCAGCAGCCAATGAAATAATTCGTACAGTATCTGAAGATAAATTTAAGAAAGCCTTAGGGTGAAATCAGTTCGAAATAGGACTGCAGAATAGAGAATGCGTCATTGTTCTTGTAATAAACGTCGTATTTTGAGAGGTTAAAATAATTTGATGCTGATTGATATGATGGAATTGCGTAATGTCGAGATGAATGAAACAAAATGACAAAATTTGAGTACATAAATATAGATGCCAAAATAAAAAAAAGCAATGATGCATTACATGCGATTTTAGTATCCTTTTCCACACTTTCCATCACGCCAGTTTGTGTGCTATGTTCACACGAAGCAGAAAAATGATAATAAATGCATTAAAGTAATTCAAAAAATTGTTATGAGATTGTAAATATTAGTTGTAAAACATTAAATACAACAGTGATAATTGTTTTTACAATTTGAAAAATTATATTTTATTTTAATAAGCAAATTATTAACATGAAGTTAATAATTTTTAAATTATATTCATGCGGGATACATCTTTGACGCATCATGTGA